ATTTCTCCCAATCCACATGACAGGTTTTGCATGCTACAGTTGATCAGTCAAATATTTCATTGTTCTGCACATTCTTCAGCAATTCTCAGAATTCCCATGGTGTGTTTAACTCTCTGCAGATGTTTTTCCTTCCATGTATTTCCAAGCATTTCATTGCTGAAAAGCACTGATAGCCGTGGGTATGGGTGAAAACGTTGAAAATTGCCTTTTCGTATGTACATTTTTTGGGTGCGCTGTATACGCGATATGTTCATGCCTTTCACTTTACGGACATAAAATCGACTCCATTAACATAGCACACGTGTGCGTTGTGTCCGGCCGTCAAAATCGCCCTGGGAGTGATTTTGATGGATACGTAACACTTGGAGCAAGTGTTGGCACGCATATGGACAGGCGCCTTAAGAGTGAAAATTTTACAACAGCGGAAAAAATAAGACTTAAAAAAAAATTACATATTGCCAGAATCTTAAAGACATCAATCCAAAAATAACAACTAAGTAGTTCAGTGACTCTGATTTGCACCTGAATTCAGTTAAATCAGGCAGTCAATTATAAAGAATTAAATTTGGTCAATCAGACTTCGTGCCGATATCAGTTGATTGAAGTTCATCTAAAAATTCAATTGATCAAGAGTTCAATTAGTTTCAAAATGTTTGAACAGAACTGTATGTGGGCAAAGGATTTTAGGCAAGGCTAGTGGAAGCATTGTTCCTGAAGTCACATTCTTTATCCCCTCTGTTGCAGATGATCGACCTGTTGTTTTTCCTGGGTATTCTTCTGGTCTTTCTCCTGGCATTTGGCATAGCCTCCCAGGCCATTCTCCAGCCCAACGCACCCAGCTTTGTCGACGTCGCCAGGGGAGTCTTCTACAAGCCCTACTTTCAGATATTTGGCGAACTGTTCCTGGATGACATTTTGGGTAAGTTAAAGTCTCTCATCTGTCTTTCTGAGAGGATTTTATTGCAATTTCTGTATAAGGATGTAACTTCCGCCCCCTTTAAAAGTGGACCGTTAAAACGCCATCAAAATGTAGAGACCGGACAAACCATTAGCCCCTTCCTCCTCACACTGACCCCTCCCCTCCAAAAACTAAAAAGTGTAGTGGTATCCCGGGACTTTCCTTGCCTTCCTCTTCTCTGACCTAGGTTCAAATCCCATTCAGGTCAATCTCGATTCAAATCTTTCATGGTGTCCAATTCGATTCATTTTAGCATTGGCCTGTAGTATAACCCAGCCTGTAGTGGAGAGCTTAGTTTCCAAAGTACGGCATTAAAAACCAAAGCCCAAAGGTCCGAGCACAGCCTTGCTTTTTATGGTAAATGTATTGTAATGTCATCCCCAGCACTGGTTCCCTGGTTGTTTAATACCCTCCTTGTAATGTACATGCATATGTTTGTACAGAGAATGTTGGTTGCATCGCCGCCAACAGTTCCAGTCCAGATCCCGGTGTCTATCCCTGCCCTGGCACTGCTGCCATCGGCACCCTGCTGCTTTTCTTCTACATGATGCTGAGCAATGTACTGCTCCTGAATCTCCTCATTGCCATGTTCAGGTGAGAATGACTCCAGGATCATGAGCTTGTTTTCTTGAAATGTTTTTTGTGATTGGTTTTTTGAGATTTTGACTCACAGCTAGAGTTGAGATGCTGATGTTTGTGCACAATTTGTATATCATACGAACGACAAAAAGTCTCTGGTGGATATATATGCATATATACCACTTACAGGGGTGAGATTTCTCAGCTTTTTAGCCGATTTCAGCTTTTTTAATTTTGGATTTCAGCTTTTTTACCTCATTGGCTGTGTACAAAAGTATAGGAGATTTTCACAGTTCAGCTTCTTTGTACCTTTTTTCAGCCATTTTCAGCTATTTTTATCATTGGTCAATCTCACCCCTGCACTTGACTGAGCTGTGGATTTGGAGCATTGTGGTCTTGTCAACTTCCACTTTGTACTAAAGGACAAAAGCAACAGTGCAGCGAACATTTGCAGTGTATTTCGTTTTAAGTTGAATGTGTTTAACTGTTTTAAATTCAAAGCATAAAGCATGAATATTTGATTTGATGTCGCAGTTCGCTTGGATGCTTCCTGTGATCTATCTTATACGCCAATGAAAAACCACCTAAGGTTTGCACCTGTTCAATTCCTGTATGTCAAGTGTTCTCAAAGAGCTGTTATATAAAAAACATAAGGAGCTTACCCTGATGGGACTCTAACCTTCACTGAAAAGTTCCCAGAAAAAAACAGAGGTTTCTTGGCCCCACTTTTATAGAAGATGCGAGGACTACAGTGTTCAATCCTGTGTGAGGAAATTCCCTCTTGCTTTTGTTATCCCAAGACTATTCCTCACAGAATCAGCATCTATTTTCATCCCTGATCCCGTCAGATCGACCCTGAGGATAGTGAAAGTCGGGCATACTTTGTTGCAGTGGGCAACCAACAGCATGTTGCCCACGTTGAGACAGTGGGAGCTATCAGTCTAGCAAACCAGTGCCACTGTTTGATCCTGTGGTGGCTGGTAAATTCAGACTCCTAGGTAGGGCTGCTTAACCTGTCAGATCTTCTAGTACCCTACAGACAAAGTAGCCTAGACAAGTGCTACAAAAGCATATGGCAGACTCATTTACCATAAATGTCCTGGAGGCTTTAGGTTGTACAGTCTGTTTTATCGTGTCTTTGCTTTTTCAAAATCTATATTCCCACACCAGCTACACCTTCTCAGCTGTCCAGGACAACACCGACGTCTACTGGCGGTTCCAACGCTACGATCTGATCGAGGAATACTTCAGTCGGCCCCCGGTGGTCCCCCCTTTCATCCTGATCTCCCACGTCTTCCTGCTGGTGCGGTTCATCATGCAGAAATGTTGCAGGGTGTGCCTTCGCTACCGATCGGGCGAAATGAGTAAGTCGTGAACAAACAAGACGCGATGGGCTTAGCAAGTTCAAGGATTACCACTTGGCTTGATGTCAGAATTTTTTTTTATTTGATGATGTGCATCGCAGTGTTTGATTGCTTCCTTTCAGAAACGTCATGAATTTATTTCTGGCAAAGGTTCTCAGAACAAACCAGGCATGCATGGTTAATGGGCAAATCCAGTATAAGATAAACATTCTCAAGATTAAGTGAAACATCTCGTGTAGGCTAAAGCATTACTTTCGGGATGGGCAGCACAGAATGTCTGTTGAGGTCATCAAAGCCCACCACTGATTCTTTGAATCTCAACGATACCAAGAGAAGAAAAACCTCTGTATCTTCAGCAATGTGGTTAATTACATTCAAATGGCAATATTTATACTACTTTGTAATTTGTCCTTGGATCCAGCCTTCCCTTCTAAGTTTCAAAAATACTTAAACTAGTCAAGTTTATTCTTTTATCAATGAAAGTGGGAGATGCTAGTAATGGGTACCTATTATTGAGAATGATTTCATCAATAGTACCTTTTTGTGTGGTTTTGGCCGTCAGAGCAAACGATGCCCCCAAGTAAAGTGAAGCAGCTTGTTCTCTGGGAGACCATACAGAGTGACGAGTACATCGTCAAAGAGAAAGCTCGACTAGCAGAGGATGTCAGTGAACAAGTCAAATCAACAGGAGAAAAGTGAGTGACGTGGTGTCTTCATTCCATCTGGCTTTTTTTTGGAGAGAATTTATGTGTGTTTTGTTTTTGACACATGAGACGTTTCTATGAAGAAACGGTCTTAGTTGTTTTAGGTTTGGACTTCCAACGTTAGGGTCAGTGGTTCATATCCAGCCGCTGGCTGTAGCTTGTTGGCATGTGCAAGCAACTCTGCCCTTCTTTGCCTCTCTCCACCAATAAGTATAAACGGGTACAAAACCGAAAACTGGAGATGAACCCCTGCCTCACGGGTTTAACTTGCTAATGGGGGCTCTTTGCGTGTTTAGAATCCTGTCCCTACCTGATTGCTGTGTGGACAGTGCAATGACAGAGTTGTTGAAACTTTTAAATGTCTGCAAATTTTCAACCCATTCAAGCAAAGCGTTGTCGTCGTATGGTTGTCATCAGTACTGCACACTATCATTTTCTCCCAATGCACAAACCATTTATCGGCTTTCAATTTGCAAGGAACACTTCATACGGGCTTCATAAAAATTGGTGTGGCAATTTTCACAGCACATTGTTATATTAGCCCAACCCAGAGAGGACAGTGATATCCAAACAATGCGCAAGCTAGTCCCTTAATGAGTGTCATTTCAAACATTCTTTTAAAATGAGAAAAAGCATTGTTTCAAGATACTTCCCTCACTGACCCGTGTCATATGCATTTACATGCCCGCCAATTGTTTTGATTTGAGTTTTCAAAGACCTTTAGATGGGAACGTTCCAATTTGGGAAGGAAAAAAAATAAAATCTGAAAATCGCTTGCACACCGCGTGCAATGTTAGAAGTGTTTCTCATCCCGAATAACCATTTCGATTCCCAGATGATGGTGATCTTGACAAATGTTAAGTAACAAATACGGATCTGCAATGCGTACGCTCCGCAGGAGTGATTGTGACATCATTGCCTCACTGTCCACCTGGTACAGTGACAAGCGACTCGATATAAACACCCAACAGCTGTTTTATTTAAATGCATTCATGGTGAATACAGCCGTGGCTTTATCTTTTGTGTCCTGCTACTTGTTCTCTCACTGAAACAGGAGCGTGATTTTAATGATTCCTACAATCCTGGACAAATCTCGTTGGGCCTCCAACCCCAGACCCTCTTTCAATGTCGGCTCTATGTGGTGTGGTCTGCCCTCCGGCTGGACAGGACAACATTGACCAGGGAGTGGGGGAGAGGGCTGGAGAGCGTATGGCTATTGCCAAGTGTCCCATCAGTTTTGTCCAGGATTTTAGACTAATACCGTAGGTCCAGACTGTGTTTGTCACATGTTCAGTGATCGAGACTGAATTGGCATAGTGAAAAGCAGCAGTAAGTCAGACATAAGGTACTCGCATTGTGGGTGCACTTTGAACTTCCTTTATTTGTGAGTTCCAAATGCTGGATTTTATAGCACCAATGTGAATATTCTCTTGGACTCAGGGTGGACGACTTGCTGGCGAAGATGGACGAACTCTTTGCTGACCCGGAGACTGGAGCTCCTTCCAAAGCCTTGGGTCTGCTGGGCGAGAAGGCTATGGAGGAGAGACTGAACAGACTAGAAGACCAGGTAATGTACCAGACGCATGAGCCTCATTGGGGAGGGGAGGAAGTATGAGGAAAAACTTTGTCTCTTTTGCAAAAAGTCCGGCCCCTCCTCTTCCTGCCCTGGAAAGTCCAGGCCACGCCCATGGCCAGATTGGCTTTATTTATGATCATTTGGTTGGTATTTACCTCTGTCGATTATTCCTTCCCGGCTACGCTAAAATTTAGGAGCTTGTTTGTCTTAATAAAGACCCTTTGGTGGAGGTTGTCAGTGTGTGAAGTTGGCTTCTCTTACCATCATGGTCCAGGGTTCGATTCCCATTCTGGGCTGTATGCGAGTAGAGTTGGTCATTTATTCCTTTGCTCTTTTGAGAAGGTTTGGTCTCCAAGGTCTCTGGTTGTCCTACCCCTGGCGGTGCTTCGTGGGTGCCTGAGGGGCCTTTATGTGCCTTCAGCTCGGCCTTTTGCGGTGTCTTTATCGTACATTGCATTGTATATTGTACTGAATGTGTACTTCATGTAAGCATACATGAGCCCTAACATGAGTTTTAGTAGCCATAGCTGTTTCTGTCTGAATTTCCTGGAAACTTCAAAGAACTTCATTCCAATGACTTTTGATCTCGCTCCTTTCTGATATGCTTGTTTTTTTGCCCCCTTTTGGGGGGGGCAGGGGGATGTGGGGATCTGTTTGAGTAGTTTACTCTTGTTTACATGATCTGGTTTAGAGGAAAATTGTCTTCATCCATAATGCACATGATATTTTATGCACATAAAAAATGGAATCAAATGTGAATTTCTTTCCTTAGGACATTTTTATTCCACATATACAAATCAGATATTGCTGAAGACATTAACTTAATTGATTTCAATCACTTGCACATCCAGATGGAGCGAACAAACCAGGCCATTGATTGGGTAATCCTGGCTCTCCACGGTAACAAGCTCGGAGTCAAAGAAGGACCTCCAGAACTCAGGTCTATTGCTCCCAGAAAAGGTAGATGCTGATCTCTGATCTAGTGCATTAGAGTGGCATTTGATTATCTTTTTCATAAGACGCAATTAGTGCATGTGTTGTAAGGGTCACTTCAGTACAGCGGTCTGGTTGCTTGTGGTACACTCTCTTTAGGTGTTGTTTGAATCTAAATGCGTGCAAGCACGAATGCACGGCAATTTGAATTATGTGAAAAAATGCCCACCAGATCCTTTGTCAGGCTCTTGGCATTAATATAGCATCGTCTTACTACTTGATGCCTACATAGTTTTCTGCATTTTTGTTGAAACCTCCCAGATTTCCAAAATAGAACAAACAACCAAATGATGCCTATTTTCTATGACAGAGCAAGATAATTTTGATGATGAAGAGGAAGAGAGGAAAGTTCCCACGACGCTGGAAGAACTCGGGATATCCTTACATCAGAAGGCTCGCTCCAGTCCCTACCCCGGTACGGCAATACGAAGGTTCCCAGTGCCAGACAACAAAGTGCCCTGGGAGGTGAGTTGCAGTATCATCACCTGCCATCTCTAAATGATGACTGAAATATCCTGTCATTAATTTGCGGTCCATTCTTGCTGCCACGCCTCATGTGCCTAGGTGTGAGCCCCTCTCACACTTTCCCTGTACTTGTAAAAGTGCACTCACGCAATAACACATTTGCTAAGTATCAAGAATTTTGTCAAAACACATGCGTTGTGACACAGTCTCTCATAAGTTCCCCAAACATCCAGACACCTTTACCTTGGAGCCACTGTACAAAGTTTCCTTGTACCACGTGTCATCCATCAAAAGATGACTTCCTCTGTAATTAATGTTCTATCTGGCCGTTGTGTATTAAATGTCTTGTGCATTTTGGCTTGTACTGTCTCCGACTTTCCACCGAATCGACCCACATAAAAGTACACTCATGCAATAACATAATTGGCTCCCTGAACACGAATCGGGGTTATTTGGCCCAGCTGCCAGTAGGAATAGCTATACTGTGATATTCTGAATTCCCAACTGATTTCCCAATAGGTAAGCACAATATCATTTTTAGCAGTTCCCAATAATTCCAGACACCTTTTCCCCTGAAGCTACCTTTGAATCACAAGTTTAAAGTTTCCTCGTACCAGCTGGCAACATTGTCCAGGTATGGATAACAATCCTTTAGTTATAAGAAGGAACTACACCGGGACTATCATCATGAAAATTTTTTTCATGTTCTGAACGTAATTTGACCACAATTCAGCATTTCGCTGCTATGGTCAAATGATAGACCACTTCAAATCACAATCAAATCAAATGTTTTTGCTGGTAATCAATATTTTGCGAGTTAACAGTATTTTGCTGGTTTTGATTTTTGGTTGAATTATTCTTGAGTTCTCTCAAAACAAACAGATCATCTGAGCTTGAAACCAACAGACTTTGCTCTTTGAATTCAATGACCGTCATAGCTAAACTCCACTTCCATATCATGGGAGTTGAAGGACGTAGGGTGCATGTGGTACATGATTTTCAGATATATTTTGTGGTCATTTTTCAGAATAACCACCAAGGTTACAAAGCGGTCAGCTACACTCATCCCAGTATTCTGGCAATGCCTCACTACGCTGACATTGATCTGCTCAAGTACAGCAAAAACGAGCGGCCCATTCTCAACTTCAACTCCTACGACAAGACAGTGAACTATGACCGGCGAAGTTACTCGGGCACCTACACCATCATGGACGGCATTCCCCTGTAAGTTTTTTGTGTGAATGTGCGTGGATGGGTGAGCAAATTGAGAAAAAACTGAGATCGAAATTTGGCACCGGGAGGATATTGACTGGTGTTTTCTTGTTTGGGTTTTATTCACCAAGGTTGTTGTAAGCACTCCATGCTTTCTTTGTTTTTCCTGCCAATTGTGGGAGAGAAATTTACAAGCTTACTCGGGGTTGAGGCGTCTCGTCAAGTTTCAACCGTACGCTTTCCCACCGCAGTGATGAGCAGTCTTGGGGAAAAACTTTGTGGTCACATGCTAATCTGACACCATTTGATCAGACCCTGTTAATCTCTCCTTGTTTACTCTGACCAGGAATCCGCGAGGTAGGACTGGAATGATAGGCCGCGGGACGCTGGGTCGATTTGGCCCCAATCATGCCGCTGACCCCATCGTTACCAGGTACAGAAAGTCTGGTGTTCTTATGTGCCATGTGGAATGGGCAGGATAACACACGGCTTACATGTTTCTGCAGGGCAATGCTTCTCATACAAAGTTACCATTACCTGTGTGTCATTGCTTTAAAACATTTGTTAGCATTTTAGGATGTCTATATTTACTTCACGTTTACTCTGTATGCAAGTATCCTCGTGCCAAAGAGGGCCAAGTGATCTTTTCACCTGCTGCTGGTATTGCAGTCAGCATGCATGGTTTAACTGATTGAACGCTTAGGTCAAAATTTCCTGCATTTGTTTCCTGTGGTTTGCAACATGTTCAAATTATACTCCTTTGTTTCTTTTCACAGAACTACTGTCTTGTAGTTTACCAACAAAGCCATACCGAAAACAACAGCTCTTAACATTTTAGTGCTTCAAAAGTACCTTATGAAGCCATGATTTGTCACTGGTATTTTTTCAGGTGGAAGAAGAACCCAGATGGAATGAAACTGGAGGACAATGGACTGATGGTTCTGGAGTTTATTGCCATACAGAGGAAGGACAACCAGCAGTGGGCGATACCAGGGGTATGTAGGGGAACCACAGGGATACTGGGAGGGGTGTGGTGGGGTATAGGTGTCAAGGTGTGTCTTGCCGTACAGGGGAAGGACAACCAACAGTGGACGATGTCAGGGATACATAGGGGACCCACAGGGGCACTGGGAGGGGTGTGGTGGGGTACAGATGTCAAGGTGTGTATTGCCGTACAGGGCAAGGACAACCAACAGTAGACGATGTCAGGGATATGTAGGGGACCCACAGGGGCACTGGGAGGGGTGTGGTGGGGTACAGGTGTCAAGGTGCATATTGCTAGACAGGTGAAGGACAGCCAGCAGCTGGCGATACCAGGGGTATGTATGGGATTGGAAAGTGGTGGACATGATGGTTTTTCCACACTGAGGCCATGCAGTTAGTATTAAAAAGAAGCAATAGGAGTCCCAGGAGGTGTGTGTCTCACAATGGTCTCAGAGGACTCGACTATGACGCTGTTGGATGTTGAGTGCGTATACAGACAGTGTAATCAGTTGTGGTCTCTTCAGGGTATGGTCGAGCCGGGGAGCCTAGTTAGTGAGACACTGAAGAGGGAGTTTGGTGAGGAGGCAATGGGATCACTGGACAAGTCTCCTGAGGACATCGTCATCATTCAACAGAAAATTGAGGAGCTTTTCCAGCACGGCGTAGAGGTAAGGATACCGCATCCTAAGATTGTAAAGAACTTTGTTTATTTATTGGCGTAACCGGGGGGGGATTAGTCCCCCCCCCCAAGACCAGCCCCCTCAGAAATTGGAAAAGGGAAAAATCTGGTGATAGTCCACCTTGGTCAGTGTTTAAATGAGAATGGACCCACTGAGCCCCCCCTCCCAAAAAAATGAGGGTCCCCAATTATCCCCCTGCAGAAAGTATCCCAGTTGTGCCACTGAAAATATCCTGCAACATTTTTGGGGGTCAGTTACATCTTATGTTTTTTTTTCCATCTTGGGGGCTTGGTAATCCGGAGGGTGTTTATTTATTGAACATTGAGACTTTTGTTCTTTTCTGCTAGCTGCTTTGCTGTTAAGTTTTGTGTTGTCCTAGAAATTTCAAAACAATATCCGTGAATAGGCCCAAAATTTATCCTGAATTGGCTTGATTCCGGAATGAAAAATTGAGAATATTTTTCAGATTTTGCTCCTCAAACAATAGAAATGTTGTGTTTATCTTGCAATTTGGTGGATTGCCTACACAAGCCTCAAAGTCCAAAGACTCTGCATTGAAAATGAAATGTGTCCCTCTTTACTCCATTTTGTAAGTAGCAGTGCACAGCACTTGATCAGTAAAAACAGAGCAATACCAACTTCAGACTTTGGAACCAAAATGGCTGTTCATTATGTGTGCAGTTCAACATGCAGCTATTGTGTACTAATTGTTAATATGGAGTATCGCATAAGCCACCAGTTTGGTTCCGACAATTGAGATGCTCATGTCGTAAGTCTCGCTGTGAACAGCTCTGGGTAAAGCTTTCCTTGAGCTTAGAAAACAGAACAAATGCAGCCAGTCACTTGCAACTCGCCCTCAATTCTACTCTGCCCATGTCGCAGGTCTATCGCGGCTACGTAGATGATCCCCGCAACACTGACAACGCCTGGATGGAGACGGTGGCCATGAACTTCCACGACGAAGAGGGCACGTCAGTAGGTCTTCTGGATCTGCAGGTGAGCATGAGTCAGAGGTCCCACAATGATTCAGTGGGAGGGAGAAGGGAATGGAACCAGAACCCACAGCCTTGAATCAGCAGCATTGAAAAAAAGAACCAGGCCATGCCCAGACAAAGCAGGGGCCTCCGGGATTTTTGAATCCCACTCTTTGAACAAGAGACTTTCCACGACCAGCCCACGTTTCTGCCCTGGGCTGTTTCCACTGACCTGATTGACACCACCAGTCAGCTTTGATCGGGCGGAAGCTCTTGTTTTCCCTGCCCACAAAGGGAACAAAGAATAGCCTACCCAACCAATGCTTCTTTCGTGCAAATTGCCTGCACACTCAGCAATGCTGAACAATAAACACAGACTTGCTTCAGATGGGTAAGACTTCAATCTGGCTGGGCAGTCTTGCCGGAGGCCTGACTTTATTGATTGGTAACACTGCCACTATAAGTAGATAAGCAAGATATGGGACAGAGATCACCCCCCCACCTTTATGTTAGTCATTGTTTGATCAGAATCTCAGGAATTCTTGACAGACATCTAGGGGGGATGTGTTAGGTAACAATAGTCTAGAGTGCGTGTAGGGATTGGACATGTAAGGGGAGGTACCCCTCTGTCCCATATCTTGCTGGGTATAGGGGACTGCATTGAAACGGGGGGGGAGGCAAAACCTCAGCATTGGGTTCATGACCCTCTGCCCACGTTGTTTACTTATGGTCTAGTGCAATTTCTGGGCATCTTAGAGGTAGATTTTCTGTGGGTGATAGGAAATTTTTTAGATTGTTAATTTTGCACCCAATTTGGCTTCCAGATGTAAAAAGGCAGCTGCTTTTTAAACATGGTCGGAATTGAGAAAAACTTACTGGCTGCTTAAAAAATAGGTTGGAGAACACTGCCCCAAGTCCTTTTAACACCCTACCTATGTGAAAATTTAATTGTACACAGACTATGCACAAGCCACAAGTTCGTTTACTTTCAGTGCCCCCGTGAAGAAAAATGTTTGCACCCCTCAAATGCCCCCCTCGGAATTTTCGTCCCTGTGATGCCAACGGTGGGTCAGTCATTACAGGTTGATGTTAGCTGGGGTATTGTCCTCCCATATTGGCCTGGACCGTTGGCAGACTGGGTCACCAGGCACCATTGTGGGCCTTCAGGCCTCTCCTTGAATTGTCCCTGGGGATTTTGTATTTTGAGGAAGTTGTCTCCTCCTGGCATTGTGGGCTGTTGCCTGAAATAAATGAGTATGGGGTAGTTTCACTGCGTCGACTGTCTTTGTTGTAGCAATTAGAAAAAAAATGTAATTTCATTCAAATGCAAGGGATGAAGTTAAGAGGATGCGACATTCCTATTATTCTAGAATCTTCCTCGGAGGCCGTTACTTAGCCTTTCATAGGGGCACATCATGCAGCCAGGCTCGTTTTCTCGTTATATGTATTTTGGCTGATTGCATTCGGTGAGCAGTTGCAGCATTTTTAACAACTGAATCTTTTTTTTCTACTCTATCAAATTTAGAGGGGAAAAGCATGTATTGGCTGAAGGTGTGCACCGTGCCCTTTCACCCCAAGATATACCTCTCTTGTTGAAACGCGTAATGGTTGATATATTTGCTCAGTGCACACTGTTCTCGCATTCTGTTCCCACTGATTCAGGCCGGTGACGATGCACAGGGTGTGCGATGGCAGCGTGTCAGCTCCAAGATTCCTCTCTTTGCCAGCCACCAGGCCATGCTCAGGAAGGTAGCTGAGCTACACAACGCTGCCTTCTAGACGGAGCAGGGGACCCTCTGGAGTTGGTACATGCAGCAGTGAGGCTCACGATCTGAGCAAAGCAGGTGCAGGGTACTGTCATCCAAGGATGTTGCCAGTTTTTTTATGGGGGGGCAAAGCACTTTTTTCCAGGGGGAAAGTTTCCAAAAGGGGCAAAGCACTCATTAGCAACAAACCGACAAATCATAAGCAGAGCAAATGGGTAGGTTTTGAGGTTTTTCCAGCAAACTTTCTGCAACTTTCATCTCTTTTTTAAATTTCTCTTGGCTTTTTTCTCTTTTCCTATTTAATTTTTTTTTGGGGGGGGGGGAATCGAGGAGGGGGCAGCAGAGCACCCTTGCACCTCTTGTGATGCCCATGCTATCGTCCAGACAAGGCTCATGCTACCTTCTCCAGCTAGCTACTGAAAATGCAATTCAGTTCACTCAGAAAAATGTGTCAAGGTTTGTGTTGGCCTTTTCCCCTAACAGTGCTGCTTTTTAGACCGCTGTGTGTGCGAATGCAGAGTAATACCAGATTACTGGCGTTGAATTTATTTGTGAGATAAAGAATTCTTTTAACCATCCTGTCCGTTGTATGAAGTGCTATGGTTGTTTTAGCAATACATGTATAGGTTTTTGAAGTGCAGTTTGGTACGTTTGTATTTTCTCTTTCTTGAATGAAATTTGATCAGTTAAGATTTAAAGGTATTCCAATGTCAGTATATCTCTGTATATATCTGTCAGAAGTTTTGAACAAGAGTTCATGCTACCTGCTGTTTTTTTATTGTATGCCACGGTCTTTCAGTAGTACATTTTGAAAAAAAAAGTATTTTTCTGAAAAGTCTGGAAAGAATTTGTCATAGTATTAAATATAATCACCTTGATGTTGCAATCGTTGAGAAGAAATTACAGTATTCATTAAAAATATGTTTGGATTTTATTGACTTTAAAAACAAGGCCCCTGTAATCCCTCCAACTGTGTGTATACAAACCAAACAATAATTCTGTGCCTTTAGGGAAGATTTGGCGGCTCGACATTTGTTATTTTAGTCGTGAATTTCGTCACATCACTGTAAAAAAATTGAATGAAGAGAAGAATCTGATAATGTAGAAAAAAGCGATATTTTTCTAATTAGTTGGCAGAAATTTGAGTGAAGGATAGGTGATGTATTTGTAGTTTTTCTGTTGCCATTTTGGCAAATTCTGTTTGCTAAAAGATTCCGCCTTGATTTGCATTACATGTGATTGTGATTTTGTAGATTTATGTCCTTTTAATATCATCAGAATTTACATCTTTAAGGTGTGCTATATCAAGAGCTGTGATATTCTTGATCTCTGAAAATTTGTGATGTAATTTTAAATTATTCTTGTTTATCCAAAGACTTTATGTGAATCGATGTAAAATGGATTTCTAAACATGTATTTGCACGGGGAGCCTTTCGACTATTGTATTTTTTTCCGTTCAGTCCGTGGAATTTGGTATTCATTATTGTATCCAATTCCACGGTTCAGTCCAGTTTGTGTTTGTGGTGGTGTACGTGTGTGTTGGGGGGTGTCTTGTGGCGAACGTTTTGTTTTGTTTGCAGGTTGTGTGTGTATGGTTTTTTTTGGGGGGGGGCATTGTGAGCAAGCAACAACATGATGCCAACTGCACATTATGCAAAGCTATGTAATTCATGAAATTGTTATATTCGTGACACAAGATGCCCATTTTCTGAGTGGACCCTATCACCTCCTTTTTATTTCGTGTGGAGTTATACTGTAGTTTGTGTGTGTGTTGCTAGGAGTATAATTCAACATTCCATTGCGCGATTTTTGCGTATACATGTGCTGGCGTGCACGATACCGGCCGCAACTGAAAAACCAGGAATCGGGTTTGATAGTTATTTGCTGCCTGTGACTGTTGTTTGTGGGGTTTATGGAAATCGACTTTCCCAGGGTCTGTGGAATTCAGCCTTTTCATTCAACCTGTTACCCTGAAGCCAGTAATCCTTCCTTGGACATTTTCTTTTATATCGTTGCAGTGCCGGGGGTTATTTATGACGCCAAACCTTGTGGGGTTTTTCAGGGATGTCTTGCGGTTATTTTAATAAGAAATTTGTGAAAGTCAGAGTTACCGTTCTCGCGCAGTTCTTGCCGAGACAGCTCAGCCAATAATTCCCCCCCCCAGTAGTGTACGTGTGCGCATTGCACGCAGGCTGACTCGCGGCGTGTTGCCATCATGAACCACGCGTAACAACAAAGCCATAGATAGGATTTGTGGACTGATTATAACTTAATATTTTTGTGAGAGTGAGTCCCTTTACGCGCTTACAACGACATGAAACAACCAAGGTCGGGGGGTGGGGTGGAATCACCCCCCCTGAGATTGTCCGATAAACCTTGGAGGTGTATTTTCTCCATGGAATAGACAAGCTCGGCGCTTTTACAGGTCAACTTGTGCCTTTATGTTGTAGATTGTTTGGTTATTTGAAAGATACGGGTGTCTATTGGTTTTTAAGCTACTTCAAACTCTATAATATTATTCGTGTCGAGAAATTCAACCATCCAGGGGAAAAGTTGATGTTAAATAACAAGATAACTAGCTTGTGCGCGGAACATGTCAGAAAAGCCCAGGGTTGTGACAGTGACCGTTTTCATGTTTACTTACTCCTTATGATTTATAAAGTGGAAGAAGTTAGTTTGATGATTGCTGGTGCAAGAAGTGAAAATGGCTTTGTTCATGAATGCGTATTCATGTATTTTCGCGACCAGAGAGGTACACCCGGAAATGTTTCTTCATGTATAGGTTTTAGTTGTACATTAAAACCAAAATTATTAGCATTGGAGTAGATATTTTGTTTGTGGAGAAAGAATGGATGAATTACCAGTATTAAGTAATTGGAATAAACAATTGGTGTTGGCACACTGTATCCGAAGGTGCATGCGTAGTGTAAACGAAAAGATAACGTTGCTTTTCTACGAGTGTTTCCTAATAATGTAAAGTGAGATATGAATAATTATAAAGATCCGTAAAGAAGAGAAATATATGAGTTTGTTTACACAAAGCGCATGACCGTGGATGATAAATTGATATCCTGCATGCTGTTTAACAGTGTTTTCCGGCTTCTGCATTTTACTTTTTATGGAGTGATTTGACAGATCTGCGTGTCGTAGCCCGAGAATAGGGTATATGTGGCCCTTGCATATCAGAGAAACCAACTTCAGACATATTGGCCAATGTGAGAAAAATGTGCATCGGAGCCCCTAATGTACATGTAATATATTACTCGTGGAGTGAAGTCCATATTAAAATCACCTTTTCGCGGTTGTATTGCGCAGATTATCCGAAGGGGACTATCCCCCCTTAAACCCCCGCTTGGGGGGGGGCCTGAAGGCTCCTTTGTATCACACTTTTTGGCAACGCATCTCTCCCTTTTTTTTCAGATTTTCTCTTATTAATGCCTGCGTAATAGAAACTGTGGTCAGAATCGTCACGCGTCATTTTTCGGGGGAATCGTTCGATTCAAGGACGATTCAAGACAGTGTTGACTGTCGGTTTTGCCGGCGCGAACATTTTGTGACACATGTAAGCGTCACCCAAGCAACGGAATTCAATAGGCCTACAGGCCATTCTGTTATCCAGAGTTTTGTGTATTTAATAAATTGTGTCTGTTTATTTCCAATTTCACGACATGACAGCCGGGGGCTGGCATAGTGACAAACCAACAAGTCAGCTATTCACAGCAAGAATTACAAGTAGGGTAGTTAACAGACAGCGTGAACACCTGGTCGGAGCACTTATAATCAGAGGTGTGAAAATTCATCTTTTTTAGCTGATTTCACCTTTTGTTTTTGTTTAGGTGTTGACCCTAAATTTCAGCTTTTTTGTGCACCTGCTGTATACAAACGTATAAGAGCTTTTTTGCTGGCTGTTTTCTGCTTTAATTTTAAGTGGCCACTCACATCCCCTTTACAATGCAAGAAGCGTCTGATCAGTCTGATTATGGGCACACTTTTATTATGTTCTCATGTCGCATTTCACTCTTGATTCTAGTAAAAGAGGACAGGTAGGCCTGAACAGGTGCTTCGAAGGTAGGAATTCTGATTTCTGGATAACGTCTGTTTTTTGTAATGTAATCTTCGCGAGATGGAAATTGTGTCTGATAACCAATAAACTAATAATGTCTAACTGCCATATGGTATGGTAATAACGATTGTCGACAAGACGCAGTCCCGGAATTCTGAAGAGACGGTGCGTGTGTGACCAAAATGCAACAAAAATACGTCCGAATGAACGTTTTCCTTTGTCGATGGCGTTTACTTCAGTTCGATATATTTCGTCGAGGGTCAGCTATTTTGTTGTTGATAGTTGAGGTTTATTTCTTAGTCATGAAAAGAAACTTGGCTAGCTCAATGTACCGAGATTCTAGCGGGAGGAATTGTGCTCCCGGCATGCCGGGCGCGCGCGTTTATGCGGGCCTAGTAATACGACGTGTGCGTTGCGATGAACTCGATCCCGTGGTTTGTAGTTGAGCACGAAATTATTGCCTTGCAAATTTGAATGAGAGTTTTAAAAGCGGTCCATTGTGTAGATGGTCAGTTCTAGAGAGCACACGCATAGACGCACGTTAAAATCGGTACAATGCAATTGTTGATAAAAATTATCTGGTGAAGTCCAACACCAGCACGGAGGAGAGCGTTAATCGTTTTTGGACACCGGGTTTCCAGAGCATTTTTTAAATATTCATATCTGGTTTTTCCTGGACGTAGCGTCCTCCGATGAGGTGATTCTAAAATATAGAAAATGACATGCGATCAGAAGTGGACAGGATGCATGATTTTGCTCGCCAAATGGTACTATTGAAATAAATCAAAGACAGCATGAGAGAGTAACTGTACATTTGCATTCAAGACTGCGGGGTACTAGACAGACAGAAGTGCAAACACTAATTTCGTCATGGACTTATTTAGAGAATGTTTTCTTGCTGTGGCTTTATAACGACATATTGTACATTGAGCAGTTAATCTAAATTTTCCGTAATAGAATTCGAGATATGCTGCAAAATAGAGCATGAAACGTTTATAGAGCATGTCTGAATTACTCATGCTTAAAGAATAGAAGACGGGGAACGAATATTAATTCTCGGGCTGCACTATCGCCAAAATTAGGAGAGATGAGTTTAGAGGGGTTTTATAATGTAGGCTAAGTAAAGGGAACTTGAAGACAACTGTTTCGGCAGATAGAATGGATCACTGTGGACTGTTTAGCTGTGCGCTCTAGATTTCTTAGTTCCCATCGATATGGCTTCGCCCTGCCTAGTCAATAGCCTTTTGCGAGTAACCTTGGAATAAAATCTGGTACATCGAGTTCTCCTAATTCACGTGAACATAACAAATTGAACTCTCCATACCACAGATGCTGCCGGCTAGGCCTAGGGCCTATACTATACCAGGCACGAAATGGGACAGAGGGGTACCCCCCCACACAACAAGTCAATCCCTATACACACCCCGGTCTACTGTCACCTAACCCCCCCCCCATGTCTGAAAAGGATTTCTGAGATACCAGTATAGCAATGACCAACACAAATGGGGGGGCGTTCTCTCTGTCCCGTAGTTAGCCTCGTATGGCCCATACCTCGTGATTTGGGGAACGCTTTTGCTTACAGTTACGTAAGAGACGCCTTCCATCAATACACTGTTTTCAATGGATAAGAAGGGCACAAAGGAACCAGTCCATTCCTGAGCTGATGGCGGTCGCTATTCAAAAGCTTGCCCGAATCACGAGGTATAACAACAGCGTCTGGGGAATTCGACTTGTTGTGTTTATGTAAATAAGATACTAATTTCTTGGGAATGAACAGGTCCTCACAAAACTTGATCTCTGCACATTCAGCAAGGTGCACTCCGAATGAATAGGTTCCATTCTGTGGAAGCAAAACAAGCCTGGAGCCTTCGACTGCCCTCTTATCTTCCGTCCACCGTGGAACAAAGCGTTTAACTGGTTTCTGGCGTTTGGCTGCTGCTTATATGCTGGAACCAGATGTACCATATTATGGTCCCAGTTACCAAGGGGCGCTCGTTTTACTTTTGCGAGTTATACGCTCCTTCAACTGTAGTGTAAAAATGGTCCAGGATTCTATCGTTGCGAGTTTCGCAGTCCACATTCTGGTGATACTTGGGTAAACCTTTCTTTAGGTTACAGTGATTAAAATCACCAGTAACAATGAAGAAGGGGTTTTACCTACAAGAAGGCCGTTATGCACAACTCTATTGGGAGAGTAAATTGTTGCCGCTTTTTTACAGATTACATTGAGGGTGTTTATGTTGCACGCAAATGATGTGTGGACTCTTTCATAGGATAAACTGATTGTTTTATTTTGACGCAAACGCAAAGAATCAATGAAGATTGCGACAATGAATTATGGAATGGAAAATGTTCTTTACACGAATTCCATATAGATGCTGACTACATTTGATTTCAGTCTAGCTGTAATTTGTATAAGCTTCGTCAACTAAGTGCGTAGCAAAATGGAGGTTGAGGCAAAGTTCATCCCCAGTATACATGTACATGTAGTTTACACATTTTGAAATGGCTTTTCACATCTACTTTAATGAGCAGGTACAAAAAGTACTTTCCCTTTTGGTCATTGTTTTGTGTCCTTTTTTATTTTTGTTTTAAAGAAAGGGCAAATAAGTCATAATTGTTAACTGCAAACTTCTTCTTCGTTAATTTGAATACGCTTCATCCGTATGAGAAACTGGCCATTTTAAGCAAGTGATACCTCCCTATAAGGTGATTCCAACGGGAAAAGGCTATATTTCAGAAATGAAGATCAAACAAGCTAAGAATTTTTAATCACATCCTTGTAACACAAAACAGGTCTCTTTAGTAAGAAAATTACCATTTTCAGATTCTTAGATAATAACGCTTTCGTAAGTTACTACCTGTGCACTAAATCTTCCAGATTTTCCAGAACTGGCACAGGTTGATCAGTTCCTCTCCAGCGAGGGTTCACTTTGAGAAGGACAGGCTCATAACAGTCGCCCAGCCCCTTTGTGGGGAACTGACCTGGTCTGTCAAATGCCATGAATACCAGCTTTGGTCTATCTATCGCCATAAAACCCCGGAGCTTGTATCTAAAGGAAGATTGATATGAAAGGAGGCCCTGCAGGGTGAAAGCTCGTGAGAGAAAGAAAGGGCTGTTGCACCTTCAAGACCAGGCAACAATTTTCATCCTTCTGTATTGTCTGCTATAATGACTGGAAGGGAGGTCAACGATTGTCGATCCCTTTTTTGAGTGTGTCTGCAGGTAGCGAATACCAACGGTGCGTACGTTTGACCCATCCGGTCAGCGTTTTTTTTTGGGGGGGGGGGGGCGGGGGTTTGTTTTTTGGTTTTTGTTGTTTTTTGGTTTGTTTTTTTTAATTGCAAAACTGTCTGGGGATGCCCAAATACGTTTTAATGGGAAAGTGGTTCTTGAGAAAAGACCAGTCCTCGTGCCCTATTGAAATGTCGGTCTCAACGTAATTCCCTTGGAAAATCCTCCAGAGCCGCCTTCACTGGCCGCCTTCGACCCGACAGTCATCGGCTTATGGTGCCTCTGGGGAATTTACAATACCCGCAAGTTCTGTGTGCAACTTGCGCACTCGTATACCACTTTGATCCCTCCATGCTGGAACACATCAATCTCTGCTTTTCTTCGCTGACCAAATCTGCAGCAAGGATGATTGGGGGGGTGGTCACAGTTTCCTACTCTCATCACGGGTTCTTGTTAGAATTTGCTCTTTATTGTCATATTCGTTTTTGCTTCACCAAGCGTGGTAAAACTGTGGCTGGCTATCCATGCAAAAGTTCGAAAGTTTCATAGTGCCATCAAGTGTGTTTTCAAAGAGTGAAGTATATTTTTCAAAGTACTTTTTATGAGATACATTTATCCAACTTTGTTTTTGGCGAGATATTTTCCCAAAACTCATTTGCTCAAGACACATAATCTCGTCCTTAAGAGATCTACTTTTAAAGACGTCATTTTATTTTGAAAACAAATCGTTTTTACGAGATAGGTCTCTTATTTTTCAAAATTTGTTTTAATGAGTTGCATAGTTTTTG